CCCCACACCAAACCACTCATCATTAGAGTCCTTCCCCCCCAACCCTCAGTCTCAACCCTGAATGCCTCATCCCGGCCCCAACCTAGAGCTCACACTCCTGGAGAGAGCCTCGGCATCCCTACACCGCAACTCTCTGCCCCAAGCCTACGTCCCCTCCCCCTGCTCAGCCCCACTCCTGCCACATGAATTTTGTTATGTGCAGCAGTATGAAGGCAATGTGTCCCACATCACCTCCACATTGGTGTACGTAACAACATTCATTCTGCTCAGGAGTGGGAAAAATTAGAGGGAACACTGGATCTAGTTACAGAACACATTTCCAGACAGGATCGGAGGAATCCAGAGTCTGACTGTCTTTAGGGAATGCTGCAAAACCTTCCCCTTTGACAAAGCTTCCCACCATCAGAACGACACACACAACAGACACCCCCTTCCACTACACAAACCCCTGCCAATGGAAAAAAAAAACCAACCCCACACAATCAAAGACCCTACCGCAAGCAGAGATTTTACCCAAAAAAAGAGATGTGCCACCGATGCCACAAAATCCAGTCAGACACACTATAGTGACAGGCCGAAGCACAGAACTCAAAGACAGACTGAAAGCCCACACCTCATCCTAGATGTAGCAGCAGGGAGTCCCTAAGGGTATGTCTACACTACCACCCTAGTTTGAACTAGGGTGGTAGTGTAGACATACCCTAACTTACGGGGTGGGGGCTGCGTTGGAGACCGAGAGGTGGTGTGTCTGGTGTGGAGTGGTTCATTCCTTATGGGACCTCAGCTAGATGTATGTATGTTAGAACAGCCAGGGTCTGCTTCAATCTACACTGGGCCCAAGGCCAATGCAGACTAGTCCACAGAATCAGGAAACGACAACCAGCCACTTGGTGTCTTCCCCGGATACACACTCTTGTGCTCAGCAGATTTCAATGCAGGAGAAAGTCTGAATCTTTAAAGTTCCAGCAATTTATAGTGAAAGTGATTTGGAGCAATTCTGAGAACTTTTGATCCCTCCCTCGCTTCCTCTGAGCCCTGCCCTAAAACGTTTTAAAAATAAGTTTTGAATACTCTCTGTGGAGCACACAGAGAGCATGATGACGTGAGTGGGTATCTAAGCTTCATCCATAGTCATTTGGGATGAGCTGCAGAGCTCTCTTGTGGCTTTGACATTCAATAGTAAATCACTTATTCCAAATCCACAGTGGAAAAGCTTTTATACCACTTCACACCATATTACAGCTGTCTGTAGAGACAGACATATACTACAGACTCTTCTCTTCTGGTAGATAGTTCTAGGCTCCCGGAACAAGATGTGAGTGCTGGGGATGCTTAGAAAGCTGGAAATCTCCCTTGTCTGATTGGTATAAAGCTCCTGCTTCCATCCCTGTTTAATCCCAAGATAAAATTTGCCCAAAGTAAATTATGCCTTGATTATGGGTTTGTGTCTCATTGCTCTTCATAAGCAGGACCATTAGGTTCACACAATGCACACTAATTGCTTGCCACCTGGTTTATTTTATTCTCTGTGATGAATCACAACTCTTAACAAGGCCAGAAATGAACTTAGTGTTCCAATGATACAGTTAGAGCTGAAGTCTTTTAATACCTTAAATTAAATCAATCTTTTTCCTTCCAAGTGCACTAGTTTCAGGTTTCCTATGGTAGTGCATGAATCCAGGTTTTTAGTGGATGACAAGGACACCCACACTGCATACATGCTATATACAAATCATTTTTGAGGGTGCGGGGCTGTCTTCTATGAGGATGGAGAGGGACACCCAAGTAATTTTTCCTCTAATCATAAAATTTGACACAGAGACTGCTCAGAATCCACTGTGCAACTGTAATTCTGCTGTAAACTTTGCCAACACTTTGGTACATCAACACTAGCACTCAGGTAATATCTATCAAACTCACCTTTCAGTCTCACCCTTGTACTGATGTTGTACAAAACTTGCTAATCAGGAAGAGGATTTTGAGGCACAAAATGGGCAAGAAGTAGCCATAATAAAAGTAAAAGCAGCATGAACCTAATCTGTACTATCGTGATCCCATCATCCCTGCTTTACTATTGGTTGTATGCACGGACCACAATGACCACTGTAAACTTTAATTCTGATCTGTAGCACATTTTGAAGCAGCTTGTCCGTGTTCTTCCTGCTGGCCTCATTTGTGTGAGCTAGCAAAAGGATCACAATGCCCAGCCAATAACCTCCTTGCCAATTCTCATTTGCTGCCTGATCACAAGGAGAATGTTATTGGGAAAAGCAGCACAGATCATCCTGAGTTTTGTTTGGTTCCTTAGCTCACAGACTTTGATCCCTAAGACTGTGGTCATCCCCAAATTAGGGGGATGGATTGGTTTATTTCACAGTCATGAGATGTTTCAGAAATAAGATATGTTGTTTAGAATGAAGATGGATCAGTTCTGGGGCTTGTCAGCCTTGACTGAAGTCAATGGAGTTATTGTGTATGTACACTGGGGTAACTGAGAGCTAAGTCTGATGCAAAGGCAGCAGTATCTGTTTTCCAAAAGAAGTCAGAAAATTAAGTAAATGATTAGAATGAAAATTAAAATGATTGACTTTGTGCTTCCTGATGTTTCTTAATATGAAGCAAAATGAGAGAACAATCTGAGCATATAGGTGAGACACAACTAACAAAATTCTTTTCAAGCATATCTGGATGACTGTTTCCAATGGATGAAAAATTTCCTTTTGAAGTGAGGGACACTCACCAAGGGTGTGTCTAGACTACATGCCTCCGTCGACGGAGGCATGTAGATTAGACAGATCGGCAGAGGGAAATGAAGCCGCGAATAAAATAATCGCGGCTTCATTTAAATTTAAATGGCTGCCCCGCTCTGCCGATCAGCTGTTTGTCGGCAGATCGGGGCAGTCTGGACGCGCCG